AGAGCGGTTGGCGAGTAGACATGTGTATGAAGCATCTGGGAGAGCATATATACTTTCTGGATTGAGTTCACATTCATGGCAAAGAGCAACAGCAAGGGGTGATTCCACTGACAGGTCTAGTCTTGTTCAGGCGTATCAGACACCATCGATGGCCGAGATGCTTACTCGATCTCAAGCCATGTTGCTAGGTAGTCCATCAGGGCAGAGGCTTCTCCAACCACTGTTGTCATACAGATCACAACCAAGCCCAAGGTGATCCAACAAGGATTTTGTGAAAACCATCTTCAAGTTAAGCCTTTCCGCTGATTTTGCCTTTTTGGCTTATAAAATATTGTGGGGGAGGGTGGTAAACGGGAGTCATAAACAGAAGATTTCTTTGAGCTGTGATTTTGCTGTTCAATGTATGTAAAAATGAATAAAAGTTGAGGAAAGGGTGGAGGGTTACTTAAAACCGATGGAGAAAAGGGCGGTAGATAGGAATTTACTACATTATGTTTCTTCTATTTTGGGGGGTTAAGGTTTTTCTTTTGGCTTCGCTTTTCTTTCCTCTAATTATGTCGTTTTTGGGGGGTGGTGTACATACAGAAGAATGGCTTCTTTTTTTTCTGGGACACCTGGGTATAAAGTTTGTAGCTGTGCAAGTGGTTGAGATGATAATCTCATCAATATAATATATATGTTTTCAATTCTTTCAGAAGTTGTTCTTCAGTTATTTGTCTTTTGCATCTCTACATCTCTAGGCATGCAAATGCATAGGGAAATGACAATCTTGCCACTGTAAATGCTTGTGAATATCAAGGCTTTCTAGTTTTTACCAAACTCTAACATGCCAGAGAGTAATAGTAGTTGGGAAATGGTAAGATGCTGCATGATTCTACACCTAGTTTGTATGAGTTTAAATGATCCCCCCACTTGAATTTAGGATGCATCTACCTGCTGAGTTTTTTGTTTTTATATAGACTATTTTTTGGGTTATTATATTATTAATTTCTGTGGAGAATCTGATTGGTTATTTTTATTCCTTTCAATCACATTTTTTTACTCAATTTGGATCGAAACTTTGCATAAAGAATCTAAATCCGAATTCAGTGCCATTCAGAGCACTGATATGTTGGTTACCTTTTAAATGTATGTAAGTCTAACCATGTATGCATGTACTCCCAACAAAGTCAGTTACTCTAATTATAGACTTTTTATAATTTTCTATGTTTTAAACCCTAAACGTGGAACGAACGACCTTAAAAGACAATATTTTTGGAGTGGATGGAGCTTTTTTACAAGTTAGTCAACTAAACAGATGTATGCAATGTTATACTCGTAGTGTCTAGAATATGAAGCAGAGTAACCGTTTTTATTTTGGAACGCAAGAGAGGTGGCTTTATGTGCCATAAAATGTGCAGTAAGAAACTAATGTATCTCGGACAATATATATATAAAGCAACTGTTTTGGTTACTCCATGACCTTAGAAACAGTGCTACGAGGTCTGGAGTGGTCCTACAAATTTTTGTTTTTTCTTAGGCAGCAGCACTCTAAGTCGTTGTTTGCTTGTGCAATTCACATGTGACTGATACAAGTCACGTGTAACCAAACCAGTTCTGAGTCTGAAACGACAAATCTAGTGAGCCCTCCCTGTTAATACCATACATGGACATGTTTATAATTAGTAGACTGTTCCATCATCCTATTCTACTCATTTGTGATCCCGTTCTCGTGCAGCATTGTAAACGGATATTCTTGTTTTTCGTCATGTGTTTAGATGATGGACTAATGCCCATTACGTAGACTAACTTTTTAACTAGACAGAGGTCAGAGGTTGTTTAGGTATTTGGGTAACGAGTATTGACCACAATAAAACCCCTTTTATCTCAACTACTATAACAGGTTTGCAACTTGACGTGTACCAAGGAACTCTGCACTAAAAAATCAGCAATGAACTTGCACACAATAAAAAAGAGAGGCAAATTCTGGTTGCGTTGGTCGAATGCAACAAGATTTACCAGGGATCACGAATCCAACTTAGTTGCTGGCTTCATAGAATTTTACAAGTCACTGCTAACACTTCTGCATAATTTTGGGCTATGAGAAATTCAGAACTAGTCTCTTGGTACTACGAGATGGTGCATCCAAATAATAACTGTTGAATTCGATTCTAATATTTTGGATTATGGATTGTTCATGAAGTGTAACACGAATGATACAGAGAAATGTTAATTGTAAAACAAATTTTACAAAGTAGAGAGGCAGAGTAAAACAAGAGAGAAGTGTAAGATCTAATTAATGTTGTGGTAAAAGAGATAAACACTGAAAATTATATGTATAAATTGGTTATGAATAACCAATCTCGTATAAGGGTGATCAAATTCATTTGAACTGATGCCTAAGAATAATCTTAAGCGAGAACAAGTGCAAAATTTAATTGAAAATAGCTCACCTATAAATTCCATATGCTTTTTCTGTGGGAATGTTGGGCAAATATTTAGAGTAATTCAGGTATCGATCATTAAAGAGCTGTAAAGATAATAATGAGATACCTTCAAGGAACAAAGGATAACATATTTATTAATAGACATACTAAGAACTTGGAAGTCATTTGCTACTCTAATTTTGACTTTTCTGACTGTGTTGATTCAAGAAATCACAAATCAGAAATACAACTCGCAATTATGTGGTGATAATGCTTCGAGCAATTTTAATCGTTGACACTGAAAAAGAACCAGTTGTGTTGTGACAGCAAAAGTGGCTCCATTAGCATTATCGATTTATCGTTATAACATCCAATGCGCATCACTGCAGGATTGGTAAACGGACAAACTAAAAGATTTACACTTTTTCACCCTTATTAAAGTAGAACCAAGCAAGTACCTTTTGCTGTTCCCTGCACCGTAATTAAAATTCCTTGATATACAACATTTCAGAGATTCGAAATTTATCTCAACTTCCTCACCCATAACGTCATAATCAAAAGTCAAAACACTAAAAGTGCAGGGCAATAAAAACTTCACTTGCAAGGTGAGAACTGGCTCATAACTCCATAAAAGTTGATTTTGAGCACGGTACATGAGAAATTCTGACAAAAGTTGTTTCAAGTCCACAACTTTACGTTAGTCTCGTTTGCCTTCATTTGGTTTAGGAATTTTCTTGTACTCATAGTTGTTAATGTCCACCTTTTGTTGCAAATCCTATGCAATAACAAATACAAATTAAACCACGGATCTTCCAGACTACATTAAATTGTAAATGAAAGGGAAAACAGACCTTTAGCTCATCCTCCAAGGAAATCTGTTTAGGCCTGTATGCATTTACTGGTCCTGTCCTAGACAATGCTTTTCTTGTTTCAATTATTTCCCACTCCTGATCATCTTTCACCTTTGCAATATCCTTACTGGGCAGGCACAGTTGCATTATATATAGAATGAGGGTGGAATAAAACATAATGAGTATTGGAAAAATTGGAAAAAGAAAGGTTAGGTGAAGCATAGTTTATTTTCTATGCATAGTAGATATGACTTTTAAGATAGTAAAAGTCGACAACCGTATCATACATGAGGATTATGATCAGATAAATGCGTGAAAACAATTTTCTCAAATATAAAGACTTTTAGGGCTGCAACTAACTAACCTGCCTTGCAAGAGTTGGGCAAGGCCAATAGAGCCAAGGACAGTGAGAGAGATCATAGGAAGGCCATATCTCAAAAATGGGCTTCTCCTGCCCCATCTTTTAAATGCTTTATCAGTTGTGGCAGTTCCCTTGGCTGCCTTCTCACTCTGAACTGTAGTCATTATTGGCCACAGAGTTGGAATGTTGCCTTCAATTCTCAGCTCAATGTCCTGATGGATCAAACATCACACTCGGTAAAACCAAACCAATTACCAATTCATTCATGCCACTGGAATTGGCATTTTATCAAACACGTAATGTTCAAGGTACACACAGCTTTGTAATAAATTAACATACCAAACAAACTTCGATCACACACACAAAACAAAGATGCAATTACAAACTGAATGCCTCTTTCACTCCAACAATCTCGGGTTGTTCGCTAACATTTGGATCACAAGATTGGGCTGTATTGTTTTGGGAATGAAAAATGTCTTTTTTTTTTTTTAATTGTTAGAAATGATTTGAATTGGACAGAGAGAATGAACCAAAACCCATTGGTTAGGGAGTGATTTAGTTGTGAAAGGCAGAACAATTAAGAAGGTTGAACGGTGACATGATAAACATTGAAGTAGAGTATGAATAACAAATTAACAATAACAATAACACTCACCAATTGTTTTTTCTTTGTAATATTTAATATTTATAGATGGATGCGTTGGTGACGATTGACGAAGGAAGGAACAACGTTGAGGGAAGCAAATAAGGCTCTTGGATTTTAACGTTCGAGTTCGTAGTATTGCCCTCAAACAAAATATCCTACGACCTTAGGCCAAAATACTGATTTTAATTGTAGTTTTTTAACTACCTTTTCCACCGATTTTTTATATAACAAAAAATTATTAATTCGTTAAAATCTATATAAATCGTTTAACTAATTCATTTTAATTATTAATGAGATAAACTGTAATTATCCATTTTAAAAAACTATCTCATTTTTTTTTTCGTTGGAACTTTGGGGTTATTTGTTTTTAGTATTCAAAATTATAGAAGTTACATGATTTTAAATTTTGATGAAGGATTAAAATCACATTATTTTACTTAAACATAAAAGATAAAAGTAAATAATTTTTTATAAGGATTCAAATTTAAACCTTATATTTTTAAGTTATTCAAGTTAATATCATTCTTTCCAAAAAAAAAAAAAAAGACGACCATTTCTTATTGAGAATTGTTCAATTGAGTGAAATGGTATTATATATAAAAAAGTACTTAAATTATAAATGTCCTATTAATAAGATTTTTATATCAATAGTTAAATTGAAATTCACGTTTATGAATTTCCATTTTACAAATTATACCAATTTTTGTTAATTTAGTTTAATAGTTAAAAAGATGATTTATAAGTTTGGTTCTAATTTTTGTACCATCTACTCTAGTGCAAATATATTATTTGGTTTAAATTAATTTTTAGTGGGAAATCTTTGACATTTCAAAGCTTACCATATTTAACAGTGAAAAAAAAAATATATTTTACTAGTAATGTTATTAAATATAAATATTGTTACTTAAACTATTTAATTTGATGTTTTTTTTTTTATAATAATTTTGAGCGCTCATTACTTCAACCATCCAGTCAACATATACTGTTTCCATATAAAGTTTTAAGATCACAATTTTTTTTTTGTGTAACTGATTACAATATAGAATAAGATTTTTTATATTTACAATGGAATAGTATACAAATTCAACATATCCAAATGAAAATTTATTAGGATAAAAATAAATAAATAAATAACTTCTCAATTTTATAAATTGAACACTTATTTAAACCAAAATTAAAATACGAATAAATATAAATCGCATTAAGCCAAACTGAATGTGTATGAAAAAGTTGGACAAATTAAAATGTTTAGAGGAAAAAATGCTAAGTTTCAACTTGATGACTTCACCCAGTGTTATTCTCAACGATCAAAGATACTTGTGTGAATTTAGAGAAAGAGCTTGTGAGATACTAATGGAAGAAGACAGGTAGTAGAAAAGCTTCAGTTGGTCAGCTAAACATATATAGAAGAGGATATATGTATATAGCAATAGCCATTTATGCTGACCAAAATGGCCTTGCCAAAAGAGAAACTGTTCCAAAATTCTAATGCCTAAGTAACATAAAGCAAGCAACTGTTCGTTATTAGTTACATTATTACTTAAAGAGCAACTAGGAGATCTTAAAACTTTAAGAAGAAAAAGAAAAACATTGCTTAGTCTTTTTCAGCCTCAACTCTTTCACTTAACTTCCATGGCCTTTTCTTCCACCTGTGCAGTGGATGCTGGTGATATTCTGGCCTTCCCGCATGGCTTGGAGACCTTGGTGGCATTAGAGGGCTTAGGCACAAACTTGCAACCCAATTTCTTAAAGATCATGTTCCAACTTAACTTTGACTTCATCATCTTTTCCAAGTCTTGCTTCATGCTCAAGCACTCCTTCTCGAGTTCAGCCACCCTCCCTTTCATGTTGTCAAAAGCTAAAACGGGGTTAGGTGGTGGTGTGTTGCCATCATTTCTCACCAGAGCAAGATTTGCATTCAGGTTTTGTGAGTTCTCAACATTGTCAGAAGAAAAGAACCACCCAGCAACAGATGTGCGCAGCTTCAGTTGTTCAAAGAACAACACTTGGACTACAACACGGAGAGGTAACCTCTCATTTTGAGCTGCATGTGTGCTGGCTTCCAGTGACAGCTTCTGGCAATTCACCAGTCTGCAGATTTGTTCCTTCTCAGAATCTGTCAACCAGGAATGATTCTGAAATTCAGAATCCATTAGTATCTTTCAAATACCATATGAAATTATACTACATTTTCAGGACATAAACTTCTAGAGACTAGTATTCTTGGTCATTTAAAATTAGAGTTTAATAGTGATACAATATCAAATATAAAATGTTTTATAGAATCAACTAATTATAAATCATAATTTGTATAAATTTAAGATAGTTATTGTAAAAGTTAATAAATTTATCATTTATAGTGAATTGTGATTAGATGACTGTGTAAAACAATTTTACACTGATAGTACATTACCATTAAACTCTTAAAATTATTGGTGAAACTTTTGCTCTAAGTGAAAGAACATATCCTTGTAGTCTAACTAATGCAAATGAAAAATAATATTCCTTCTACTTTTCTTGAATGTATGACTAATGTGCTATATCTAAATGGTCAACTGTGTGTGTCTATTCTTTACTGTATGTAGTAAAAAACTTGTGTCAGTAGTGAAGTTTTGTTATCATGCAACAAGCTTCATTTCCAAGGATCTTATCACCAACTATTAGGAACATCATGATCTAAGATCATATTATCATTTATAAGACATGGAAAGAAAATAAAGATTTCTTCCTTTACCTTGATATATATATCAATGGCACGGTATATGCCATCATCTAGGGTCCTGGCATGATCAGGAATTACAGCAGCAAGTGAATGAAAGTTCGATAACTTCACATTTACATCAGGCGCCACTTCAGCTAAATAACAATCTATCAGGTTAGCCACTTTAGCCATCGGACTGTGAGGTTGAGAGCCTCCAACTATGCGCCTTTCTTCATCTATATCATTAGATGCACTATCAGCAACATCATGCTCTACAATCATGAAGTGATCAAGCATTCTCTGGACACAGTCAATATCATGAAGAGTCTCCATTGAGTATCCAATATTTGGAATCAAAAGATCTTCTACATCTGCTTCATCTAACTGAGCACCAATTCTTTTCTCCAAGCTTGCACAGCAAGATGAACTAGCATACAAGGCCATTGCTGTCCGCAGACACGCCAACAAAAACTTAGTTGGTGCTGTGCCCTTTTCATTTGGCATCAACTCCACTATTTCCTCAATCAGATTCCTTTGATCTGCTTCTGAAGGGGTAGAAAGAGATGACTTAAAAGCAGAAGAGTTTCCATTCTGTGAACTTGGTTGACTTCCCAGCAAGGGGATGTGCTTTTTTGCATAGTGAACAAGGGATCCAGCAATTCTCTTAGGTTTCATGTGTCTTGCACTAGCACCCTGCATGAACCTTTTATACAATGGTAAACTAAGAGAAGAGACATCCTCAAACCACGAATCTTCACCTGATGTCTTTGGTGTTAGGCTTATTCCATTCCACACTTCTGCATCCTCTGAACTCAGAGCAACACTTTGACTTGAGACAGGCAAATTAACACAACTTTGATCTGCAACTTTCAACACCAAAGAGTGTATGCATCGTGAAGTGATGTGAAGCTCTTCAGCATAAGGCAAAACCTCTTCACATGTTTTAAGAGCCTTAAGAGTGTCTGCCCAGTAACCAAACACGTGGTTAAGGAAATTTTCTGTTTGCATGATCAGGTTTCCCTCTCCATAGTTCTCACTCATTTCCAAATACTCAGCTGCACATCTGAGACCAACCACATTCATTGCAGTCAACTCTATTTTAACTCCATAGCAGAACTTAGCAACAAGCAAAAAGGCCTTGGCTCCTCCCGGTAGGTCATGAAGTTCCAAAACAGACTTCTCATTATCACTTGATAATTCTTTCATCAAATCTACTAGCACTTTGCTTCTTGATATCAGTGGAAACTGGTAATACAGAGAGAAAGGGATTAAATCAGGCAATGTGACAGGTAATGACAACAAGGAAATAAATAAATGACTAAGCATAACACTGAGATGCTCTTATTGATTTGTTATGCATTAAAGGATAACTTAAAAGCAAGGTATCTAGAGATATTATTACATTACTTGACAGAAATGATAAAAAATAAGAAAAAAGTTATTGTCCAAGTAAAACACACCTTGTGGAGATAGAAGGATATGTCACCAATTTCAATAATGACATCGCATGGAAGTCCATATGAACACAGCCTACAAAGTTAATAATACACCATAATAAGATTTCGCTAATGAAAAATGGTGAATTATGTATAGAATAGATAGATACTGTTGATACAACAGGGTTCGGAATTCAGCTTCATTTATCACTATAGACCAAATAACTAGTTGGAGGAAAGTAATTAAAGTTCTCATGATTCCCACACTGCGAATTTGATTGATAAACACGTAGAGTAAAACAGTTTTCTCATGCTAACCATCTAGAAAACACTAGGAAAGCTCTCTGATTCGCATTTTAGTTTATTACCATCCATCTTAAAACACAGACAAATTGCATTGTGTATTGGATTAGTGCACCATTCAGAATAAGAAAAATGGAAATCCAATCATGTTACAATAACAAGTTTTTTTAAAAGCAATTCCTTGCAATAACAACAAACAATCACTTACCGTCACAAATTTAAGGGCAGGATGTAACTTGACACGAGATTTATCGTGTTGGTTATACAACTGATATCTACTTTGTAACAGTGGAAACATATTGACTACCATGCATGTATTCATCAACCACCAAAAAACTTGCCAACAATTAACGTTACTTAATATTTCTAAGCTTGTAAAGGATGAAGGGAACATGTTATAACAGTGAACCAACGTGAAAGGACAAAGATCACTGATCAACCAGATTATAAAGATGTAATTAATCAAAAGGAAAGAAGTGAGAAATTAACAACTGACCAGCTTTGGCCATAGTGGTTAAACATTTCAGATTTGGATCCCAGCTTCATGCACGCCATGTGTGGCACGTAAAAATGTTCTTTCAAAGTGGCAAAGAAAATTAAAAGCAACTACAAGGATTGGTATTCATTTTTTGTTTGTTTCTGTTTTGGGTCTCGAGATTTTTTCCACATTTTTCTCTCACTGGGATGCAATCTTTTCGGTTCTGTGAATCTAAAAAAGGCACACGTAGATATTATTCCGGGTCTAAAGGTGGGAAATGGTTGTAGCTGTTATGACAATGTGTAGTGTGCAGAGTGATTCTCTATTAAAGCAGCTGTTACGGTAATTTCCTTCTCGATACTTAACAAAATAAAATATCTATGTACTAAGTTTTCATATCTGTAGCCAGGGATACTCAGCATAATTATCTGAGTTTAACTTTGTTTCGTTTCTGAAGTTTATTACGATTGAATAATGTTGATATATCTATGATCTATAATAATAAATATAGGAAATTTCGTGCCTTGTCATTTTTTCTGGACTCTTATGTCTCTTAAGTAATATATACACCTGTCTCACTATTTCTCATCCTCATTTTTATCTATTATTATAAAGTTAACTGTACTTTTTATTTTTATTTTTTATTTAACCTTTATTTATCCTTTTGTTTTATTTTTAAAAAATATAGAGGCAGGAAATCCAAATCTACTACCTTTTCCCTTTTTGCAAATACCTATTATCATATACTAAGCTTCACTATTTGCATGACACTAAAACCGCTAAGATATGATATTAATTAATAAAAATGATGAACTATCCACTTATTTCAATAATTAATTTATTTAAATTTATTTTAAAATTAAGTTTATCTAAATTTACCTCATTCAATAATTTATTATTTTACATTAAATATCAATTAAAAATTCTTAATGTATAAATTAATTAAAAAAATTAAAAATATTTGACACTGTTTTTTAATTAAAATTATCTTAAAAGTATTTTATACTTTGATTAAATTAATGACACGATATCATATTATAATGACAGCATAACATATCACTTCAACAATAGTATCAGGTCAATATTATATAGTAGAGAGACAAAAAAGAAATTATAGGGACAAAAAAAAGTAATTTACAAGAATGAAAAATGAAAAAAAAAATTATATGAACTAAGAAAAAAAGTGACATGTAAGTCTTAAATATAATGAATAAATTTAATTAAAATCAATATAAATTAAAAATTAAATAAACAAAAATATTTTTTTAATAATTACTTTTTTTTCATCTTTTCTTCATTTTTTCCTTAACTAACACTATTAAGTCATTTACATATTGTATAAATACTTTAAATCCTCTCATTCACCACACACCATTTATTTCTTTTTTAACATGTAATATCTCATAGGAAAAAATATACAATATATATCATGCCTTAATAGTTGTCACTTATAACCCATCTTAGTTGCAACTTCTTTAAAAATTGTCTTTATTACAACATTAAAAGTGATGGTTTAACTCATATTGATAAAAAAATATGACTTTAAGTAAAATTTATAAAAATTGGATAACTCTCATGTTACAATACAAGTTAGTTTTACATAAGAGTGTCAAAATAGGTTCTCATGATAACATGATGTTATGTTAATATGTTATTAATAATGTGATATTATGTTAATATGACACGATAGAATGTTATCATGATGTCATCTATTATTAATATGACGACACGTGATAACATTATCAAATTAATGTTTTTGTAATGAATTTTAATTATAAGGTTGAAAAATGAAAGGTTTGGATCTATAAAAATGATTAAAAAAATATATTTTATAATGATGGAAAAATAAAAAATATTAAATTAAATAAATTAAAAATCATATTTAAACCTAAACATAATTTATTACTATGCATCGATCTTTATATCCATTTGCAAGAAAATTTGAGTACATAGCATACTTGTTAACTAGACAATTATTACTATCTATCAATCAATCTCTATATCTTGCAAGAAAATTTGAGTGCATAAGATACTTATTAACTACATTATTAAATATTACAAAGCATTGCTGGATGGACAACAACCTATATGAGTATGAATGAGCTAGTTTTCAAAGTGCTTCATACGTGGGAGTGGGAGATGAGCAAGGCCGCGAAATTCGCTGTCTCGGATACAAGTTATAGAGCAAAGGAACAACTAACTTAGTTCACAAATTAATTTTGTACGAAGCCAAGCTAACTTAGTTGTTCACAAATTAACAAAGACAAGTGACTTCTATGCTGTTCTTCATACTTTTATATATATTCCCCATTGTGTTTTTGTATAGATTATGAATAAAATGAGTTAATCTTGTGTGTTTAAAAAAAATTACATAATTAACATCAAACGTGTAGTTTAGCGGTAGGGATTGATCCACCTTTAAGCAAGGTCAGGGGTTCGAATCCTGCCTTGTGTATGCAGTCGCGTTAATCTTGGAGCCAGCTATCCCAATCACCGCTATCGGCGGTGGATACTTCAGGGACGAACAAAAAAAAATTACATAATTAAAGCTTAAATATGTATTTTTAAAATATACTCAAGAGATATAACTCTTTACTAGATAATCTATTTTAGAATAAAATAATATTTTTAGTTATGATACGATGTCTAAATTTTTAATTAATATATCAAGGTTTAAATATATTTTTAGTTTTAAGCGTATTTACAATTTTTTTGTCCTCTAATTTTGTTTATGTCGGTCCTCGTAAATTTTAAAAATGATACTTATTACTATATAGAAATATTTTACATTATTGACTATTTTAAAATGACATGAAATGTGATATGTTTAAAGTATTATTTTGTAAATCAAATTTTAATCTTTGACTAAAAAGTAAAAGTATCAAACTACTTGATCTAATTATTTTTTGTTCCATGCAATTCTTTTCTAATAGCATGCGATCTAGTTTATTAGTTTATCATTATAAGTGTTAATAAAATTATTTTAAAAAGTAAAAAATTTAGGAGAGTGAAAATTAGCAAATGAGATACCGTGTAAAAAAAAAATTAAACCCAAAAACACATTTTATCTTGCATATTAAGCAAAACAATGCGATTAAATGTTATATTTATCAATTACAATATATTAGTATTAAATAATATATAAATATGAAGGAAATAGGCAAGTGAGTTTGAGTAAGGTGAATGGGCCGGGTAAAGAAAGAAAGAAATAGAAGCAATTGTTTTGACCCAAATGTAATAAACGAAACCCAAAGTGTAGTGTAGTGTGTAGACTTGAGTCTGAGTCTCTCCTCTGTTTCGTCAACTGCAATTGGCAATGGCAATGGCAATGGCAATGCAACCTCTGCTAACCCTTCTCCTCTTTCTCTCCCTTCTCTCAGTTGCCAATTCCTCTCCTTCCCAACACCTTCAGATCGCCAATGCCGAACGCAGGGTAAGTCTTCTCTTTTTGCACTAGATCTGCGCCAAAGATCTTTAAGCACTCTTATTTCTCCTTCCCTTCATGTCTTTCGTTTCTCTATTGAAGAATCTGTTATTCTCTTAATAAAAATTGTATGCTTCGGGGATGGTACAAGTGGACTAATTTCTGCTCTTTCTGCACAACGGGTTTTGGTAAATTAACATGGGATCAGTTTTTTTTTCTCTTTTTTTTTCCCCATAACAATTGTTGATGTTTCTGTGTGATATTTTTCTTGTTGAGGAAATATTATATATCTTGCACTATATTTTGGCATCGTCCAAATGCTCTTTTTATTTTTTATTTTTTATTTTATTTATAAATTGCATGACTAATATGCCATCGATCCTTGCAGATTGACTTGGCTTCTCACATAATTAAGGTGTATTTGACATTGAAGGTAACCTCTCCTTACTGTTACCCTTTTGATAATAAGTCAATCTTGTGTCTCTTATGGTTGCTGCTTTGCATATCTTTGAAATTGTGAATTGTGTTCCATATTCAGCTGTGACTAAGGATTTAACTTAAGTGCAGTCAACGGATCTTTGTATGTCTAAATGGAGTGGGTATGCTCAGCAGTGTTTGATTAAGTTGTCAAAATCATGTTTCATTGTTGCCCAGATGAATTTTAATTCAATTTCGGTGAAAAGTGGGTTCGACCAAACTTATGTCTGTACAAAACGATGTGATGACATTAGAACATCCAATAACCATGCATGATAGTAATATTCAAATATTTTCCTCAGTTTTACTTTTACCCAATTTGATTAGAGGTGCCTTCTGCAAACACTTAGGCCAGATTTTGTACACATAACATGAGTGGGAAGGACCTTCATTTAAATAGCTGTTGTGGAAATTTATTCTTTTTTATGATGGCCATCAACTAAATATCTGAATGAGTACATGAAAACAATAAAAAAACTTGGGGGGACAATGGCATCCCCACTTCCCCCTCAGCTCTATTGCTGACCATTCCATGTGCTTGAGAATAATGAAGTTTATAACTTGTTTTGGATTCTTAGACCAACAAATCAGTGTTTATTTGGGCCAAAATTTCACTAGAAATTATTTGTTTTTATTTCTTTTCAACGGAATGTGATATTAAAACATTTGCAGAATTTGTAGATTTTATATTTCTTACTTCTTGGAGCTTTCCTTTCAGGTTGAAAATTTGGGGACATCTCCTGCTTCAGAAGTACATCTCGCCTTGTCACCCACTGAAGTTGAACATCTAGCAATAGTCAAAGCTGCTGCAACTTCTGGGAAGAGGAAGAAGAAAACTTATGTTCCTCTTGACGTCAAATCTGCTGAGCTACCTGATGGACCAAATGGAACTAAGTTTTTCTCTATAACTTTGTTAACTCCACTAAGTAAAGGTGAAACCACAACACTAGAGGTGCTTTACATATTGACTCATTCTCTGGAACCTTTCCCAGTAGAGATAAGTCAATCAGAGCCACAGTTAGTTTATTTCCGTGATAGTGCAATATTATTGTCTCCTTATCATGTTAAGCAACAGACAACTTTCATTAAGACACCAAGCACTCGGGTAGAATCATTCACAGTGGTGGACCCCACTAAACATGCTGGTACAGAGCTGAAATATGGACCATATGACAATCATCCCCCATATTCATATTCTCCTGTACTTGTTCATTTTGAAAACAACAATCCATTTGCTGTTGTTGAGGAGCTGGAACGTGAAATTGAAATATCTCACTGGGGAAACCTACAAGTCACAGAGCGATATAGCTTGGTCCATGCTGGTGCTCGACATAAAGGTGCTTTTTCAAGGTATATTTGTTATCTTTTTAATTAGTATAT